GACTTCAGCATGGAAAACCTCGCCTTCCTCTCTCTGAGCTGTTTGAGACGCTTCTTTTCCATGCCTCGAATCACCTTGGGCCCCGTGAGCTCGTGACCAAGGTTCCTCATGTGGCCTTTGTACGGGATCTTCATGGAGCCCATGTGGCGCTGCACCCCCTTCCAGAACTTCCGAGAACCAACAACAGCCCCAGACTTGGAAGCCTTCAAGATCACGCCGAGGCCCTTGGAGTCATGGATGAAACCCTCGCCGCCAGCGCAAGGTACTTGGCCTCCGTGGGGTCCTGGGAGGTATGTTGGAGCCCAATGTCGTCCATGAGCGTCCTCGGGGTCACCGTGGGGGAGACCTTCGAGACCCTCTGCACCGACCTATAGGTAAGCAAGTACAAGACGTACGTAGCGTGAGTACACCCAGCTAGGATCCCCTGGAAGGACCGAAACCCTCTGGATACACTCCCAAAGGCCCTTATACGACGGGGCTGTTGGTAGCTCTGAATGAGGAGCCACAGCAGACGTAGTGGAAACCCCAGAGCCTGGCCTTCTCGGAGCAACGCATGTGGGTCCACCATGTCGTAACACTTGCTCATATCAAGCAAGATCGTACATGTCTGTTCCCCCAACAACTGCGCAACCTCCTGCTGAATATTATGATCAAACGCCGAGTCCGTAGACGTGTGGCCCGCTCTCGTGCCCCACATCTGGTCGCACTGGTAGCCAGCCTGCCACGCTGCCGAAACTGGTCTCCTGAGCTTGCCCCAGATACGCACCAAAGCGTGAGATAGAACAATCAATCGTGTGTCCCCGTCAGGTTTGGGTAAACGAACCATTTCACTGTAAACCCGCTCAGGAGGCCAGGACAGCCACTGCTCGAAAACCATAAACATCTTGGCCATGCGCTCGAGCGCTTGGTCCGACAGAGCGTCCAGGCATCTGGGTGAAATTCTGCTCGGCCCAGCTGCCGTCCGCGTCGAAAACTTGCGAATGGCAGCCCGCACTTGCTGGTGGTCGAGCTCGGGCAGAGCAGGCCAGCTCTCGTGGCCTGGCGGCAGCCCTGGGGGCAAAAGGTCGTGATGCCGCCATACTCCCTCCCACACGTCAAGGGTGTGGTTTGCCAGCAGGTACGGCTGCGCGTTCACGTCGAAATTGAGCTGCTCCTGCTTGCCGCGCACCTTGGAGGCTGCATGGGCCCGACTGGCCCCACCTAAGAAAGCCTGCTTGGCCCAGCCTCGCCAAGCCTTCTCCGAGGCCCCTCTCGCTGCCTTCAGCACATCATCGGCCTTCCTCGTGATGTTGTCCAGGCCCGAGTCGAAGTCAGCATCGCCGATCATGCCCAGGCCCCGCAGCAGGAAGTCTACGGTGTCCTGATCAAGGTAGTGACATGTCTTCTTGTCGCGGGCGATCCTGCGGCAATATTGGCCCACCTCGTAGAAGGCCTGCAACACCTTGGTGTACTGCAGGGGCGTTAGCTGGCAGACCACTGAAGCCAACTGTAACCGCTGACAAAACCTGCCTAGTCGGTCCCGCTCCGACCTGAGATGCTGACACCATCTCTTGGCCGTCGCCCAAGCATAGACCTTGGGCTCGCGGTACGTACGCCGACGCGGAGGTTCCCATGCCAGCAGCTTCCACTTGAAACGTGGAGGGCCTGACCTGCCGACGAAAGGGGCCGCGTCCTTGTCAACCTTGTCATACCTCCCTGCCAGCTCGAAATCGATACCGTCCAGGACTGTGTCCCACAGCAGGGCCAAATCTGTAACCTCCTTGACTTCCAGAAAAACATGGTCCACTGCCTCCCACGGGTACGGGAACCTGGCGCACCCACATGGCGGAGTAACAGGGAAAGCCCTTGGCTCGTCTGGCACGAGACACCATGCTGGCCTATCTTTGCCCAGGAGGTCGATACTAACTGGGTAATGCGGGGGTGGTATTGTGCCGTACATATCTTCCACCACTGCAGCCCCTAGCCTAGACGACAGATTTGCACACGCGATGAAGTAATCGATCGTAGACTTGCCGTCCTCCTTGCAGCACGTGGCCGACGCTGGCGTGTAAGACAACCCAGCAAGAGACTCAATCCACCTCCTCGCATTCAGAGCTGCTATGTCAGAATTCCAGTCGCCTGCTAAGATCCAATCGAAACCCGCAGCATTCCAGGTCGCAACTCTCTGCGCTATGGCCCACAGAATGGAAAGGTTCTCACCCGTCAGCCCAATGCTCGTCACAAGTATGCACTGACCACAATCACCCCCCCAGGAACGCCCCAATTGACAAAGCTGGCAACCACTCTGCCTGGGTAGATGATGGGGTCGCCGTCAGGAGGCTTCGTGATCATCACGTTCGTGGGCACCAGTATGGCGACCCCGCAGTGATTGGCCTGCGGGCCCCTGGCGTTGGTCGCCAGGGCTGGTGCCCACATCCCGTGGAGGCCGAGGTCCTTGGCTCGGTGCTGGAACTCCCCGAGGCGTGACTCCACAATCCTCGTCTCCTGTGCACAGATGATCTTGGCCTTCGCAACAGCCAGGAAGTCGAACAATGGCCCGAAGGAGCCTGCATTCACCGACATAATTGTTCCCGCAATGGCGGGTGAAGAAGATTTTCCCTCCAACTCGCCCGTCTTAGATATATCGGACCCGACGCTCATGCCACCACGTCCGAGATCCAAATGTTCATCAGCGGGGGCGGAGGGAGATGAAGAGGCTGCTCCTGCAGCCTCCTCGCGTTCTGACTGACGTATTTCCAAGGGGTTCGGGCAAATAGTGGGGAAGAGGTCGTCAGCTTCTCGATCTGCGTCAAGAAACTCGAACGGGTCGTACTCCCCGTCCATGTTTGATCCCACCATGGCCCCAGTAGGTCGGTACCCTCTGCCGTCCGATGTCGGGGCAGGCTCACAGCGAGGCGAAGAGGGTGAGTGGTGCGTGCCGTGGGGGCCCCTGGCCTCCCACGGTCGGTACTCTCCGCCCTCAGTTGTCCTCATTGCTGCTTGCCCGCGGTCGACGGACGGTGAGCAGTGCGTACCTCCTGGGGCTGAGAATGTCATCGGTGCACACCCCGTCTGCGAAGCAGAAGCCGCACTCTGCAGGGTACACGATGCACGGGGTTCCACCTCCGCACTCTGCTCGGCAGGCCGAGTGAGCATTGCTGAGGGTAGCCAACTCGTGCCAATACAATTCTCATCCCAAGAGACATGTGCCGATGGCGTAGACGCAGCCGCCCCCCGTGACGTACACGATGCACGGGGTTCCGCCTCAGGCCTCTGCTCGGCAAGCCGAGTGAGCCTCCCTGGGGGTAGCCGACGCGTGCCAGTAACCTCAGACACATCCCAGGAGACACTTGCCCGCGGTGTAGTACTCGCCGCCGACGCCGTAGTCCTCCCTGGAGTCGCGAGTGAAGCTGATACCCCGCTTCGAGGGGACACATCATTGCTTGCCGCCATTGCTGCTGCAGAGCTGAGTAACATTCCAATCCCGATGCTGACGAATCTATTGTTTGCGAGCCCTCTTGCACGCCTCAATGTACGTCGACTGGAACCTCTTGAACCTCTCCGTGACTGCCTCGGCGGAGACGTTCTCGTCCGTAGGGATTCCTGCAGCATTGAGCGTGGCCCGCATGTCTTCCTCCCCCATCTCGATGTCTGAAATTTCGTCGTCTTCAGGCTCTTGTGCAGGGGGCTCTGGGGCATGGGGCGAGGGTGGCTTTGCCTGCGGCGCCTGCTGCAGCTTGGTGACCGTCTCCGCCATAGCTTGTAGCCCTGCCGTAAGATCAGGCCCCAAGCCCAGAGTACTAGCAACACGCCCCAACTGTTCCACCGACACCGCGAACCCAGGAAGCATCTCATGGAGCGTGGGCGGCCTTTCCTGCTCTGGCGGGCGGGCCTGAGACATGGCTTTGCGCGTATCCTCCTCGAGCCTAACCACCTCAGCGGACGCCTCCACGAGCTTGGCCTCAGCCTTGTCCAAGTGTCCCTGCAGCTCCAGGATCTTGGCTCTCTGCTCCTCGACCGCCCTGCGCACGCTGGACTCGTGGGACCTCGCGTGCTGGAGCTTCGCCGCCAGCGATCGAGCCTGGTCCTCAATCGGGCGTCCATCAAACAGCTCCCGCTCCAAGGTCTCCTTCTCCTTTTTGTAATTGGCCAGCACCGTCGCATCCCTGTCGGAGGAGAGCAGGCGCATGATGGAGTCCAGCTCCTTGATGCGCTTGCGTTTCTCTTCAGCTCCGTCAGGCTGTGACTGCGCCCATGGTGGTGGCGGTGATGGCTCAGCCTTCTCTGCGGTGAGCCTCTTGACCTGTTCTTCGAGCTGTGCACACCGAGCGGCGAGGCCTTTGTCCACTTGGCTGGGGCTCTTGGATCCCGCAGCATGGACACTAGGGGCCTTTCCTCGTTTGTACTCTTTGAACACCACCGACTTATGAAGCTGACACTGCTTGCAGTACAACGTACCTCCTGCATTGAACCACGGCTTGCCAGTGACAGAGTGGACACACGACTTGCATATCCACGGTTCGTCAGCAGCAACCCTCCGAGGAGCCATGGCGCACGCAGGAGACTGGGCCACGGGCTCCTGTGCTGGGAGGCCGTGCCGCAAGCTGCGATGCGTGGGGCGGACCACGCACCGCTCTGCCTGGGGCGAACCAGGCGAAGGATGAAAGCTGGCCGCGGACTAGCGGCATCCACTTTGTTCCCAGGGGAAACCAAAACCTTGAGCCAAAATGGCTACGGAGGACGGAGGAGGGAGGAGGAGGGAGGTGGGAGGAGGGAGGAGGGAGGAGGGAGCAGGGAGGAGGAAGGCGGGAGGGAGGGAGGGAGGGAGGGAGGGGGAGGTGGAGGGAGAAGGGAGGAGGGGGAGGAGGGAGGAGGGCGGAGGGAGGAGGCAGCATGCAGCAGGCAGGAGGAGGAGGAGGAGGAGGAAGGAGGAGGAGGAGCTCCAGGGGCGGCGGGTCAGCCAAGCGGTTTATTCTCCTCTGCAGCGGCGGCGCCCCAAGTCCCTCCCTCGCGGCAGCCAGGCCGTTCTTCGCTTTGTACTTCGAGCTCGGCGTCGTGGCCGCGGGGGAGGGGAAGGGGGCGAGGGGGAGGGAGGAGAAGTCGGAGGGAGAGAAGGACGGGGAGGAGGAGGAGGAGGAGGAGCAGGAGGAGGAGGAGGAGGAGGAGGAGGAGGAGGAGGAGGGGGAGCAGGAGGAGGAGGGGGAGGGGGAGGGGGAGGGGGAGGAGGAGGAGAAAGAAGTGGAAAAAGAGGAATTTTACTATGCTTTAAGATAGTAATGAGAGGGGAGGAGGAGGAGGAGGAAGGAGGAGGAGGGAGGAGGAGGAGGAGGAGGAGGAGGAGGAGGAGGAGGCCGAGGAGGAGGAGGAGGAGGAGGAGGAGGGAGGAGAAGGAGGAGGAGGAGGAGGAGGAGGAGGAGTTTGAAGGAGGAGGAAGAGGTGAAATGGGACTGGGAGAGAGGGAAAGTGAGAGGGAGAGTGAGTTGGATGAGAGACCGGAGGCGAGGGGGGTTCCAGATTTGTCACCTCCCTCCAGAGCCAATGGCGCCCATGAGGGTCCAGAGGAGGACGAGTAGAGAATCGGAACATGAGATGGATGCGGACCGCATTGCTCGTGGGATAGTCTTGCTCTCGCTGGCTTCGTTCGAGGCCCGTGTGCTACATGGCGGACCCCACTGCCCCCTGCAAGCCTATCCTTGTCTTCCTCCTCCCTCCGCTTCTTGGCGTCGCCGTCCTCTCGGAGGCCCACACTCCCATATTTCCTGGGATACAGAGGGGGAGTTTTCATTCACGAGGCTTACACCATTCCACCGACGACTCTCATAGCAGCGAGTTCGTCAAGAGCCGTGCCACCGTGCCTGGCCTGCGGGTCCGGAGCCCCGTGGGGTGCATATAAGGGTCTCCTGGAATGCCTCTTGGAGGGCACTTGGGGGCATCTGGTTGGCTTTGGGGGGCCGGGGGCCTCTTGGGTGCCTCTTGGAGGTCTCCTGGGGCCTGTTTGGGGCGCTCCAGGGGTCACTGGGGGGCTCTTGGGGCGATCATGGCGGGAAAGACTCGAGATGTCAGTTCGTAGTGCCCCTCTCGGGGCCCTCCTGGGCCGTCTTAGGGGCCCCTGTAGCCGTTTTGGGGCCCTCTTGGGATACTCTTGGGGTCCTCGTGGGCCATCTTGGAGCTCTCTTGGGGGCCTCGTGGGCCATCTTGGGACGATCTGGGTGGCCCAATGGGCCATCTTGGACGCCGTGAAGACGTGACAAACAAACTAGTATACTAGACACGTGCGCTTTCTCATAGGAGTGCAGCGGTTTTTGCCTTCAGGGGCTCCCTCGGCGGTCCCCTGGGAGCACTTGTGGGCTGCCGTGGGGGCCACGTGGGCCGTCTCGAAGCCATCTTTCACCGTCATGTGGCTGCCTTGGGCCATCGCGGCGCTCTTGTGAATTGTCCTAGCGCTTTGTGTGTGTGTGTGCCCTCTTGGGCCGTCTTCGTGGTCTGGGGAGGTTATGGAGGCGACGGGGATGCGTTGGGTAGGCCGAGCTCCCCCCCCCGAGGGCCTTCCCGCCCCCTGTCAACCGTCCAGCCTCTCACCTTGTAGTTGTTCTATTGTCTTGCTTTATCCCTGTCGTCTCTCCTTGTTGTCTCTTCTTGTCCTCCATTTTTGTCCCTGTGCTTCCGCTGCCGTCTAGGGCCCTTGAGCCAGGGCGCCCCAGAGGGAAACAAAACGATGCCTCCTGATCCCGATCCGATCCCAACGATACGATATCGGCATAGTTGGTAGCGGAGGTACGGCTCCACGGGCAGTAGCGTTCGCGGGATCCTAGGTCGGGCGATCGTCATCGCCCATGACCTCCGCCATCTTCAATGAATCTGGTGTGAAAGTGCCCAATTGTTGGTCCATCGCAAAGGTGGGTACCCTGGCACCGGGCTGAAAGCAACGACTGTGGATCCGTATGTAAAGTCCAGAGGTTTTACGGCAAACAGCACGTTCAAAATTCAAACCGATTCAAAGTGTTAAATGTGACTCGTCTTAGTAGCGACCCCGTTTACGAGACCGGAACAACTGGAATGTTGGGATACAATTTCTTGTTAGAGCTCAAACAAAGAGCGAGGAGGACAAATGACGACGTGGCTAAGATCATCCGATTCGTCTCTTGACTCGAATATTAGCACGGCCACCAAGAAGTAGAAGGCTACGTCAACGAGTCGTTCCGCCTGCTACAGGAAGTAGACCAGGACTGGTTCGTAGCGTGGCAAGAATACGTGAAGTCGTTGATTGTGACAATTAACGCACAACTCACGCAACAACAACTTAGTAACCTCGACCGGAGTCGACTTGGACGCAACTCTGACTTTAGCTGAAGCCGAAAGTGCGATCCTGAAGATGCCAGGAGGCAGCCCTGCCGCCGAAACGGCAGAGCTCCAAGGCTACGAAGCCTGGGAAGGGTGGCCGTTTGAGGAGTTCGACCCAGACTGGAACGAGCAAGGCTGGCAGGACGCCAGTTGGACACAGGACGTCAACTACGGCCAGAAAGGTTGTTTGCGGCGCGGTAGGCCAAACCACTGCGTCGCCCAGTGCCCGCTCCCGCCGCTGATGGCCAGGGCAACACAAGCAAAACGCTTCCAGGAAGAGGTCCGGAAAACTGGTCAAAAGGTTATTCGAGTGGGCAGCCGGAACCCACGACAAGCAACACCAAACACAACATGAGCAACGGCAAATCCCAGGCAGGGAAGAGCCCGGGAAACAACATCGTCATTCGCTGTTGCCGCCGACGAGTGGGAGACTTTGAGTGCCAGTGGGTCGGAGAGCTCTGACAGGGCCGGCACGGACTGGAAGTGCACACAACACCAGGACCCAGACGCGTCATCCGTCTTCGCGTGGTCGTTCATGGCTGTCCCTGCGTCTGGACTGCCGCGCTCAGGCTTCCCTGCTGGTGGAAAAGACAGCAGTCGCTCACCATCTTCCAGACCGGCGTGCTCGGGCTTCCTGTCCGCTGGAAATATGGGCGAGTGCAGTTCGTCCACAGCATCGTCTCCCGGACCGGCGTGCTCGGGCTTCCCAGCCGCGCTGGAAAGGAGGGCGCTTGCAGTTCGTCCGCAGTGCTGCCCGTGGCCGCCAACAGCGAGGTTTGCCCACGACGTCTCGTTCAGCTGACTTGCCGTGGCGAAGTCATGCCCTAGTACAATCGGGGGAGCGTAAGACCCGGGTTTGCCGGGACTCGGGTTCGCCATCGTTTTTTGACGACCGCGACTCGGATTTTGACGAGGAGGAGTTTCGTGGGATGTCTGCAGCGGGAGGCCTCGTCAAAATGCAGGCTCGGCCTCGTCATTTTTTTGACGACCTCGTCGGGGATTTCCGAGTCCCCCGTACCCGGGTCTTACGTCTCCCCGATACAAGTGCATGTCCCACGGGAAGTGCGGCAACGCGTTCTTCGCGCGCGAGCCGCTCGCCCCGGGAGCGAGAGCGCGAAGTTGTTCGCACTTCGCGCTTCGCGCAGCGCGAAGCGCGAAGTTGTGAGCCCTTGCTTCCCCACGCAGGAGGCCGCTGTTGTCGCAGCTACCACCAAGGGAGCCGCTGGCGCAGGCAAGGGCTCCACGCCCGCGCGCGGGCCCGCTACTGTGCCTCCTCCTGGCAAGTGTCGAGCTCGACCTGCGGCCGGTGATGCAGCCGATGAGGACATGCCGCCGGAGTTCGACAAGAAGACGAGGAGGTCCTTGAATAAGATCGGCACTAGCTTTGTCGTGCCGAGTTGCACCCGTTGCCCCGTTGCTCGATGAGTGGAAATCCAAAGTGGAAATCCAAGGTGGTCAAGGAGATCGGTGGCAGCGTTTCGCCCTCGGTCGCGGGGGCCAGCACTCGGGCGCCCTCGTTCGTGGACGCTTTGCGCGCCTCCATCGGCAGCCAGGGCGCCGCCGTTGATAATCGCATCATGTGCGCGGCGCGCCCGCATGTGGACGCAGCTTCGCGCTAGCTCCAACAGCAGATCGTCACGGCCAGCGCCCGCGTCGACGGGCACGATGAGCATCTAGCTCGTCGCGGCGCTCGTCGCAGCAGCGCCTGGGCGACATGGGCAACAATTTGGCGATCGCCAAGCAGCGCTCTCGGCGCCCCGCGGCAGTGCCTAACTGCTTCGGGCGCGACGGCGACGCGGCCATCTTGGTCGCGATGGCGCAGAAGCCAGCTTCTCCCGACGCTGTTCAGACCACTCTCGCTCCGCTGATCGGCTCGCTTGGCTTCGCTGAGGACAGCGACTACGGGATCGCCGTTTGCGGTCGCGCGTTTTCGCCGCTTCGTCATCTCTTTCAGGGGCCTTGCGGGTGTTGCCAGCCGCAAGGTCGGTCGCGTCTTGTCGAATCTCGAGGGCGATTCGAGGCAAGAGGTCTCTGCGTCGGTGGTCGGTGCCCCTGGCGGCCGTATCTTACTGGGCCTAGCGATTCGCGATGAAGTTCTTCTTCGTCGCTTCGGGCCGCGCTGGCTGCCGAGTGCCCGAACGCCCGCTTGATCATTGACAGGGGCCTGGGGGCCTTCATAGCGGGGTGGGGCCAGATCTTGCGCGCCGCGGTGGGGCATGGTCAGGCGCCGCCGAAGTTTTGAGGGGAAGTCGACTCACCTCGGTCGCAACAACATGGACAAGGACGCGCTGGCCAGGGCGACGCGTCACCTCACCAGCCCAGAGGCGGAGGAGCAGTGGTGCCTCTAGTCTCTGGTCGCCCTTTCAGCATCTTCGTCCTCGCGCGGGCGCCGCCGTCCGCGCTCTTCGCTTCGCCGCGTGGGATTGTCGCGCCCTGCAGCGAGCTGCCAGGGGCAAGGCCGGCCTCGCGAGGGACTGCATGGCAAGGCATTGATGCAGGACGCTTGTCAGGGTGCCATCTTTTGTAGAGGTTTTCGTTCGCTCCGTCAACGCCAACGCTCCCATTCAGGTCGTCGCGAGTTTCAGGGAGTCGAACGTCGCGGGTGGCGTCGTTGCCGTTCCTGCTCTAGCCAAATCTACCCTGCCCCCTGTCGCCGCAGACCCGGAAGTGCGCGCGGAAGGGCGCGTGCTAATGGTTTCTGTCTCCTCTGATCTGGC